GGAAACGATTCTTTTATCAAAAGTATTAATCAATAATAAATATGTAAAAAGTAAAAATAAATATGTAAAAATTAAAAAGAAACGATTAAAAAAAAGTTGTCTTGACTAGGATTCGAACCTGCGTTACTACGGCTCCAACGTCATAGCAGCTAACCTTCAGCTAACGCCTTAACCACGTGGCCACCGAGAACTTGAAAGATTCTATGTAAAATTCTTACTTAAAAGATAATGTTTAGTGAAAGTACTTTTTTATTTATAAATATTTATTTAATTCTGTTTTTAGTATTTGTTCTTATAGCGGCAACATAGATACATTATCTGTAAAAATTTCAACTGTCTAGCTATAACGGTTCATAAGATAGACCTTTGTGACAGACGGACGGACGGACGGACAGCGAAGTCTTAGTAATAGGGTTCCCGTTTGGGTACGGAACCCTAAAAAAGATCGATTAGCAATAGCTGGCACAAAATAAGCTGTCGCGGGTTTTAATGGGACTAGTACTAGATACTGAATTCTACTTTTTTTCCTCTTAACTGCTGTATGTAGAAAAGGCGCATATATTATTTATATTTTTTAAAAATACCAATTTTTTTGCTTTGACGAATCGTGTTATACAGGGTTGTTCACCACATACGACACGGAGTATTGTAGCTAAACGATGAGATTTTTACAAATTGTAAGTTTTGGGTTCGATGAAGGACTATTAGAGGTACAATTTAAAAATAATTTTACAAGATACAGAGTGTCCCAAATAAGTAAAAATATCAAAGTTGTATTTTTTTAAATGGAACACCCTGTATATTATTACATTTTTAGTTTCTACGATTAAAATAAAGGTAAATTTGATTAAGGTTTATTATACTTAAACCTTACCGTTTTTGAAATATTTTCAATTTTGTGAAATTGCAGTAAAAATTTTAAGGCTTCATTTCTCCAAGGGTATCAAAGTTTTTAATACTAAATATTTACTGAAGTTTATTTACTGATCAGATATTGTGTTGCAATAATAAAAATAATACTACCTTATACAGAGTGTCTAAAAATTTATTTTAAATAATTATTAGCTTCAAACGGCAATAACTTGTTTAATTTAAATGGAACAGCCTGTATATTTTACGAGAATCAGATGCACAATTTAATTGTCTATCAAATTATATTGTGCCGTTTTTTACCTATCTCTTTAAGTTTCCCTAGAAAATGCATTTTCTTGTAATTTAGAACTTATTTATCAATATACCCATGGACTATTGACATTTAGATTATTTTTAAAGATGTACCAAATTTTTCAAGAGTACAGATACTAAAATTGTCGATATAATTCGTTTATTTCATTAAAAAATAAAAAAAAACTGTTTAAATATTTGTTAAAGAGGATCAATTAATATGATTCCAGTATTCAAACACATTAACTGACTGTTTGCGTTGATTAATAATAATTGCTCCAAATACTAAAAAACTGAATTTTGTATGGGCATTAGACAGTGTGATAAAAAGTAACACCTTAAAAATGATATTTCATTTTTTAATAAATGCTTATTTATAACAACAGAGACTTTAATTTGATAACTTATTATTATATTGATTTCTGACTCAAATCCACATTTATTTATAATAATTTATTAACGAACACAATTAAGTATGTAATTAATTAGTATATGTGGGGAAATAATGGTGTTATATTTAATTTAATGGTATACTCTTTTATAAAGATTTAAATAGTTTTCTTTTTGCATACAAATGGGCTAGTAATATTATCGTTTGCTAAAAACGATAATATTACTAGTCTGTACATTTTGTACATTTGTTGCTTTAAAAACAATCTAAAATGTCAATATTCCATGGATATATTGATAAATGAGGTCTAAATTATAAGAAAATGCATTTTCTACGAAAACTTGAAGGGATAGGTAAAAAATGGTATAATACAATTTGATAGACAATTTAATTGTGCATCTGATTCTCCTAAAATATACAGGGCATTCCATTTAAATTAAAGAAGTTATTGCCGTTTGAAGCTAATAATTATTTAAAATAAATTTTTAGACACTCTGTATAAGGTTGCGACACAATAACTGATCAATAAATAAACTTCATTAAATATTTAGTATTAAAAACATTGATACCCTGGGGAAATGAAGCTTCAAAATTTTTACTGCAATTTCACAAAATTGAAAATATTTCAAAAACGGTAAGGTAAGGTTTAAGTATAATAAACCTTAATCAAATTTACCTTTATTTTAATCGTAGATACTAAAAATGTAATAATATACAGGGTGTTCCATTTAAAAAAATACCTTTAATATTTTTTATTTATTTGGGACACTCTGTAAAAATATTTTTAAATTGTAGCTCTAATAGTCCTTCAACGAACCCCAAACTTAAGCATATCGCGCACTTATGCGAAGCGCGGCGCGGCGCAGCGCGGCGAATTTTTGATGGGTCCGCTAACTTATGCACGGTTTTGCGTACGCGGTTGGTATTTAAAGTTTAAAATTGTTTTGAGCTGACCCTTTCAATTTTAGTATTATCTCTGTGACGGTTTGATATAAAGGTGTATTAAATCTTCATTATGTCCTCACGTTCCAGCAGCAGTTCAGAGGGAGATTTTCTTATTTTATGTACAATAACTAAAGAAAAAGATATGGGTGAGAACAAAAAGAGAAAATTTTGGATTCATAACATTAATATAAAAAGAAATGCGTACGGAAAATACACCTTCATTCAGATTTAAAGCGGCCCTCACACGATCAATAATATTGTCAATATTTTTGATTATTGACAATATTATTGAGCGTTTGAACGTACATATTGATGTACTTTCAATATATTGATGGATTTTCGGGATCCTGAAAATACTCGACAATATTAAAGGCGGAGCTAGGCGTATTGACAATATATTGATCGTTAGGTCGCATGATTGACAAAATTTGACTAGTTTATTCGTAACCATGGCGGAAGACGGAACATCGCCGTCATTGTTTTCACCAGTTTTAGATCGCAATCATCAGGCTCCCGTTTCTTAACGTACTCTAGAAGATTTAGTTGGCCGAACCTTTCTCTTTTTCGATATCCATTTTTTATATAACGTCTTTTCTTAAATGCTTTTCTCTATTTTTTCTCACTGACTGACACTCACTGCCAAAATGCCAAAATGACACGCTTTTTTTATCTTTAATTTTTTGGCATAGGGTATAATCGAGGGTATAATTCACACTTAATATCTGCACAAAACTTAATATTGATATATGTATTGACCGTGTCAGGCCAACTTTCAAATATTGATAAAATATTGACAATAAAAAACATTGACAATATTATTGATCGTGTGAGGGCCGCTTAAGAAAGACGAAAGCTGGAAGTCAAAAGAAAATTTTTATTAAAAGTATTATAGAATGACCCACCAAAAACTTGCTGAACTTCTTTCTTTGTTAATACCAACTATAGAGTGTCAAAAAACTAGATTTCGCTGCCCAATTGGCGTTAAGAAAAGACTTTCAGTTTCAAGTTTCAAGCAAGTTTTTAATAATGTCTAAATAAAACTAATAGAGAATAATTTATATTATTTTATGTAATGCCATCTTTTCTTAAATGGGTAGATCTTTCCGTTATTCTAAATTAAATAGTCCGTACATTGGTGGAACATATTTTATTTTATTTATGATCTAAAAATAACAATAATAGCTTATTTTCTTCACAGATATTGTCTCATCTCAATTGGTTGTGATAATTTGGGTCCCCAACATCATATAACTCTTTGTAGCTCTGTATAATCAAAATGAATGTTTCATCACCCATGATCTCAATAATTAAATTACAAGAAACAAATTCAAACAAAATAAACGGGTTCTTGACTAAACACAACCTAAATGCCAATTAGTAATACATCAATCGTAGAATCATTAATCCGAAGACACCCAAAATAAATTCCGAAAATGAGCAAAAACAAAGAAAGTTTCCGCTGACCACCGCGCACTAGGGCACGCGAAGCGGCCCGAAGAGAATTTCTTCGCTTTGGATTCTAGGTCTGCAACGAACGGCGCTTCGGCGCGCGGTGCAAGCGGTTGCTTCGCTTGAGTCAGCGGACGTGCATTATATAACACAAATTTAATCCGTTGCACGGTTTTTCGCCGCGCTTAGCCGCGCCGCGCTGCGCATAAGTGCGCGGTATGCTTAACAATTTGTAAAAATCTCATCGTTTAGCTACAATGCTCCGTGTCATACGTGGTGAACAACCCTGTATAAGTTATAAATAGATTGTTTTTTATGCTGTAATCAGATTTGACTTAATTGACTCTAGGTGAGGCATAGGATTAAAGATAAATGGTTGTACCGATGTTTTCAATAAAACCAAATAAAGACGCCATTTATAATCTTGACATGTAATTAAAATTGCCAGTGAATTTTAATTAAATAACAAACAAAAAATCCGGCGACGACAGTTTTTAGAAGAGCCAATTAGCTATCTTTTAGTAAAAAAAGCAACTTTCTAGAGTAAGTCGTTACTTCAGTTGAGACGACACAGATAAATATTAGCATTTTATATATTATGTATGTAGATTGTCTAATGTTTTTCTTGTCTTAGCCGGTTAAAATATGCCCAAATCCTATTTTTAATCATATCTCAATTTTTTCAAATTGAAGGCACGATCTGCCACATAAATGTTATAACAATAAAAATTACAGGCATTTTTAATAGCGTCAAATCTAGATAAATATTTCTTTTTTGAAAATAAATTAATATAAAAATAACAAGTACCTATATGTGCGAAAATTCAGTGCTACATTTTAGTAAAAAAATTAATTTCAAATAAGTTCCTTTAAACTTCTAGGTATTCAGTTTAAATTTGGAATAAGGCTATTGACAGGAACAAGCCATAATTCATTTTTTATGTAATGCAATTTTAGTTAAGGTGCTCTAGATATGTCTGCACTTGATGAATTTTTCATAGCAATTCAAAGTAGATTTCGCTTCATTTTATCACTATTTCTCTAATTTCAGGCTTCTATAATAGGCATCGTGTATTTGGCTGGGTATATGCAATGGTCAGTTGCGTGGTTTATCGGTCCTTTGGTTCTATCCGTCATCAGGGACCAATGGAAGAAGACAAGTGTGAGTCGAAGGAATACGGCCAAAGCTCAAGCACTCTCCAGTGAAAAAGATGTAATTTTGGCCAGATTGAATGATCTTCCAGCTTGGGTAAGATATGAAATCTTGTTTTCAATTAACGTCTATTAAGTTTAACCAAAGTTTAAATATTTTCAATCGGAAATATTTATTGATCAAAAATTATCGACAAAAAATTTACAATTATGCATTTTTATATACATAATATGTCTTTTTTAACCATCCCTATAACTTTTATATTAAACATTTTTTTGTAAACCTTGAAATAAATGAGACAATGGACTTTACTCTATCGTTGACTCACCCTGTACAGGGTGGGTCAAATTCGACGCTTTTAAATGGAAACACCCTTTTCTATAGGAGATAGAAGAAAACTAATATCCGTGTCTGGAGCTCAATTTTCATCAAAAACATGATGTGAAAACCGCACATCAATATCTGTTTCCGTTTCGGAGTTACGGGGTATTTTTCAAAAATGTGCATTTTTAACAAATCGCTGTAACTTTTTGCTATGGAAAATTTTGCATTTTTATGAAAACATTTCCAAAGCACCTTTTTACGTGGAATTTAATGGTTTAAGTATAATTTCTTCAAAATTAATAATTTAAGAGTTATCAACAGAAAAATTGATTTTTTATTTGGGACACTCTCTATATTTTTAATTAACTGAAAAGAATTTAAAATTACCTTCCCAAAAATATAGCACACTTGATATTTTGTTATAATCCCCTTCGAAATACAGAATTTTTAAAAGTTCGCCACTTTTAACTAGTAGGCTTTGGACCCCTTATTGATGATATGCCCTTAATGGAACTCGAAAACATATTTTTTCAGCAAGGCGACGCACCGCCTCTGAACGCTGAAGTTATCAGCAAATTTTTGCAGCCAATTTCAAGAATAATTGAATAGCTAACCAAGATCCCAGCCGTTGGCCGTCGAGGCCGCCTGACTTAGTGCCCATGGATCTAATCCTATGGATATATTTGCGGAAGAATAAAAGTTCCTTATTCTTCCGTATAATCTAGACAAAAATTAGAAATACTTAGCAGTTATGAGAGGGTATCTCTCACCCCCACAGAGTTAATGAATTCCGCGAGAAATGTTCAAGAACTGCCTCGTCTGTCCAACACGGTCGATATGTCGAACACCTGTAGCAAAATCTGACGTATTGGTTTGCTATTTATTTCTATTGTTATTATATATAGTTTAAATGTGTTGATGTTGACTTAAATATATTTTAAATTGTTATAAAATTTTGCATCTCTCATAGCAAATATTATTTTTGTTTTAATTGATGCTCACAGGTAGAATTTTTAGAAGCCTACTTATTTATAGCGGGCGAATTTTTATATACTCTATATCTCGAAGAGGAATCGAGCAAAATATCAAGTGTGTTATATTTTTGGAAAGGTAATTTTAAATTCTTTCCAATAAATTAAAAATATATAGGGTGTCCCATATAAAAAATCAAATTTTCTGTTGATAATTCTTAAATTATTAATTTTAAAAAAATTATACTTAAACCATTAAATTCTAATAAAAATACAACATTTTCTATAGCAAAAAAGTTACAGCGATTTGTCAAAAATGCGTGTTTTTGAAAAACACCCCGTAACTCCGAAACGGTAACGATATCGATATGCAGTTTTCACCATCATGTTTTTGACAAAAATTGAGCTCCAGACACCGATATTAGTTTTTGTCTATATCCTATAGAAAAGGGTGTTTCCATTTAAAAGCGTCGAATTTGACCCACCCTGTACACACAATTTATACTGATTATAATACACAATTTATGCAACTACTGTTACTCTAACTTTTCTGGCACCTTCACCAATTACTTCACAATTTAAAACGCGGTATTTTTAAACTTCAAACTGTCCCAACTGCCGAGCGCTCACCTTTTATATAGCTGTGGTGAGTGTTTCTGGAACGTTCTAAAATTATCGGTAACTTTCTGCCATCTACTAGTGTATTCTATTGCTTGATTCGCTTACTACTTATCGACTTGATTAAGAGATGGCGCCCCAACAAAAATGTCTTCAGATTTCATGACAATGTAGGCAACCAGCAATACACGTTTTTTAGTTACTCGATTCTCCGACAGATGGCGCCACATACACCTTGACAGTATATTAACGGTAATATTAGAACCTTTGAATAAGAAGACTAAGGAAGGAGCATAATGCTATCCATGTATTTATGCATGGTGGGCGGAAAAGCCACCATAAAAGCTCTCTAGGGTGGGGATCTTTGACAGTTCTGTTTGACGATTCATTTGACACATTTGAATTTGATTTGAAATTTTGTGGATTTGTCAGTCTTTACGGAGCTTATTTTATGTTATTTATTATTTATTCTACTACTGATAGTTGTATAAAGGTAGTAAATCTAGATGGAAATTGTGGCAGAACTTAAATTAACAGTGACACTATCGCGATTTATCGAAAAAGACTCTAAAATAGTTGGTTGAGTAGCGTGCGGTAGATCTCGGCAAAAATTGAGTGAAATAATGGAACAACTTTTCGCTAGTAAGTGCTATATAATATACATACGTGTAGTAAACCGATCATTTATGAAATTCACTTAAATTAACTAAATTATATATTTTTCTTGCATTTTAGCTTTTATTTATTACTTGTCAAAGATTAGATGTCAAAGAATTTAGATACGTTAATTTGACTTACCTGCTTCAGTAGCGTATCGGATGTTTGTGTTAATAAATACTTATTATTACCAAACCAAACCAAACCAAACCAAAACTTATCTATTTTTATTAGAATTATATATTTTTATAACAATTTTAATAACTACCAACATTTATTCACAACGTAAAATAAAACAAAAAATTATTGAGTCTACCCCACGTCTACCCTACATCATAGTTTTATATTTTTTAAATAAAATTAGAACGACACTGATAAACCGGAATTTAAGTCGGCCATATTTGAGGCCCATCGCGGTGTACCTAAGATTTTTGATATGCTCCTTCCTTAGTCTTCTTATTCAAAGATTAGAACGAAATATTTGCATGTTAACATTTTTTATTACCAAAGAGGTATTTGCTAATGTCTGTCCAACAACTGTCACTCTCATGTATCCTCTCGTTGTCTATATAAGACAGTGTTGCCACAGCTACCCCATTCGGGGTAGATTCAGGGTAGAACCAAATCAAACATATGGATTGATTTTTACTACTTTGGATGAATAGATAATTCTACACTTCTAGGCTAGTCTTACTTCTTTCTCTTGTTAATTACAAATATGTTTAAAGACAAATCATTTTTTTCTTTTTTGTATTGACTGTATTTTCGTTTTTTTGTGACACTTTTGTTTATTATTATAACTAATATATTTCGTGGACGATTTTCTAAATAACTTTATAAGTTTGCTGGGAAAATTCGTGATTACATACAATTATTAACTAATGTTTCTTTCTTTTTATTCCAGGTGTTTTTCCCTGATATCGAACGAGCAGAATGGCTGAATAGAGTAAATAAAAACAAAACTACTCTTACGATCTTAATTGTAATATCGATTTTTATTTCTCTTTTAGATAATCAAACAAGTGTGGCCAAATGTAAATCAATACGCCAGACAGTTGGTTAGAGATTCCATACAACCAGCACTAAAGGAGAGCTTAGAAAAATATAAATTGTCTGGATTTAAATTTGAAAGAATTATTTTGGGATCTGTGGTAAGTATAGTTGAAAGTTTTTCTCATTTTGACATTTGACATCTTGTGTGGTAACCATGCCCTAGACACTCAATGGTAATTTTATAGAACTACAAATTTAGTTTCTTCCGCATCGCCAGACGGCGCAAAAGACATTAAAGTACAGGTTTCTAATTTATATTATGAAGATGACATGACAGTCTCTATGTTAACTACTGTCTATGGTCTAGTTTTTGTCTAGTTGACAAAATGTTGGTGATCCGTCAAGTTATTTTTAAATCATTATTTAAATAATTATTAATTCAGATATTCCGAGATATTCCCGATTTGTCGGAAAGTTCAGTGATTTGTGTTTATACCTAGTTTGTGTTTTTATTAGTTTGTGCATTCTGATACTTACAGTCTATCATCATTTTCGTGTTAGATACTAAACTTTTTTATTAAAGTCATTTTGATATTTTAGAAATAATAATTTATAAACCAAATAAAAAAATAGTTAATAAGTAAGTACATAGTTGGTAATATATAGTATTTTTAGTAACAGTTAATTAGTCTATACTATTTTTACTATATTATAATTTAGTTAAATCAAAAAAAAATATGCGCTATGTGATCTATTGTTGGTGTTTAAAATGTATGTATTTATAATTTTAATTTTGTTTTAATTATGTTACACTTCTAATGATCTAATAAAACATAAAATGGCAGTAAAAAAGTCTATATTTATTATTTTATATTTTACAAGGAATAATTTTGCGCTTGAATAACGTTACCGTTTTAATTAGCGTTAATAAGTAACGGAACGCTAAAATTATGTTATGCCAAAACTCTCCATTAGTTTCTTCCGGATCACCAGGTGGCTCTAAATGACGGACCCATTTGTTTTATATCAGTGCCCAATCTATCTCTAGTACGTGACATTAGTCTATGGTGGTAACGCTCCGGTTCCACCAAAGAATTCTTAAATATTTCTGTAGTGAACACATTTGTTTATTCATTAGTTATAAATGTTATATAGTTTTTTAGTGTTATTTAGTGTTAATAAACTTCGTTAATTAAATAAGACTTTTCGACGCTGAGCACGAATCCGCTATCAGAATTACGCATCACATTTTTTTTCTAACCTCAAAAACTTGGTAAAAATCCGTAAAAATTCAGGAAAATGTAGTAAGGAAAAATAAAAAAAACATTCCAGGGATAGGCGATGGTTTATTTACGCTCTGTACTATCAAAGTTTGGCCTTGTAAGAAGCTCACATAATTCTGAAGCAAATCTCATATTTTTGAAGCTCAACGGACATAAATATTGCTAATAAAAAAAATTAAAAATATTTTCTGTATTTTTTTTATGTGGTCTGTCGAAAACATCTACTTTCGTAACTACTCGCTGGGCAGACTATACAGGGTGGGCCACTGAAAACTTACAATGGCTATAATTTTTAAACCAAAAAAGTTATCAAAAAATAAAAAATACAGTTTTTATAATATCGAGGGGGAATACATATGACGTATTTTTTGAACCACCCCGACCTACCCCTAAGGCGGCACCCCTACTCACTTGAAAATCTTAAATGGCAACACCCCACTTGTAGCGTCTTTTTGAAAAGCCCATGAAAAATGCTAAACGATGATCATAAAGTTTTTAGGGTGAAATTGAAAAACTACCCTTTACACGAAAAATTAGGTGGACATTAATGAAAAAAGTGATTTTTTCAGCATACGTTACAAATTAGGACCCAGCTAAATGAGGTATATTTCAAACCAGCCCGACCCACCCCTTCACTTCTAACCTCAAGATAGCGATACTCCACTTGTGACACCTCTTTGGAAAGCGTATAAAAAATGCTGAACGACTGTCATAAAAAAGAACGAAAAAAATGGAGCTAAAAATAAAAAAAATGTCAAAACGTGTCAAAATCAATAGAATGAATTATTTTTGTATCCATGTACCATTGCGAGAAAAAAAAACTGGTACAAAGAAATTTATTATAACTCTTAATGAAGACCTCATACACTTTCAGCAAGATGGAGCCCCTCCGCATTATTCTATTGTCACAAGGCGGTGGTTGGATAAATAATTATCCACAGCAATGGATTGGCAGAAGGGGTCCAATCGAGTGGCCGCCAAGGTCACCTGATCTCACTCCTTTAAACTTTTTCTTGTGGGGTTACACTAAATCCATAGTCTACAAGACAAAACCAGGTTTGTTGCACGAATTGCGGCAGAGGAGAACTGAAGCATGTCGAAATATTCCGAGAGAGACTTTCCAAAAAGTGAGAGAAGAATTTGAAAATCGTTTTTATTTTTGTATGGAACAAAACGGCTGTCATTTTGAGCAATTGTTAAAATAAATTATTATTTTAAATTTCTTTCAAATTGTCACACCTACATTTCTTATCACTAGTTACCAGTAACTAAGTTGAAGTCTGTATGGCCATCGTTTTGTAATTTCAATTAGCTTTCCAAGGAAGTGTCACAACCGGGGTATCGCTATCTTGAGATTAGAAGTGAGGGGGTGGCACCTAGGGGTGGGTTGGGGTGGTTTGAAAAATACCTCATTTGTCTCATTTAGCTGGGTCCCAATTTGTAACTTATGCTGAAAAAATCACCTTTTTCATTAATGTCCACCCAATTTTTCGTGTTAGGGGTAGTTTTTCAATTTCACCCTAAATATTTTATGATCATCGTTTAACATTTTTCATGGGCTTTCCAAAAAAGCGCCACAAGTGGGGTGTTGCCATTTAAGATTTTCAAGTGAGTAGGGGTGCCGCCTAAGGGGTAGGTCGGGGTGGTTCAAAAAATACGTCATATGTATTCCCCCTTGGTATTATAAAAACGGTATTTTTTTGATATCTTTTTTGGTTTAAAAATTATAGCCATTGTAAGTTTTCAGTGTCCCACCCTGTATAGTTTATTTGTAGTTTGCTGGTACTTTTATTAGGTAACATAATTACTAAGAAATTTTATTTTATTCCAGCCATTTCGAATTGGCGGTGTAAAAGTTTACGACAAAAACATTGATAGAAACGAAATAGTGATGGATCTTGATATTTTGTAAGTAGCTTTGAATAAGAAGACTAAGGAAGGAGCATAATGCTATCCATGTATTTATGCATGGTGGGCGGAAAAGCCACCATAAAAGCTCTCTAGGGTGGGGATCCTTGACAGTTCTGTTTGACGATTCATTTGACACATTTGAATTTGATTTGAAATTTTGTGGATTTGTCAGTCTTTACGGAGCTTATTTTATGTTACTTATTATTTATTCTACTACTGATAGTTGTATAAAGGTAGTAAATGTAGATGGAAATTGTGGCAGAACTTAAATTAACAGTGACATTATCGCGATTTATCGAAAAAAACTCTAAAATAGTTGGTTGTGTAGCGTGCGGTAGATCTCGGAAAAAATTGAGTGAAATAATGGAACAACTTTTCGCTAGTAAGTGACTATATAATATACATACATGTAGTAAACCGATCATTTATGAAATTCACTTAAATTAACTAAATTATATATTTTCTTGCATTTTAGCTTTTATTCACTACTTGTCAAAGATTAGATGTCAAAGAATTTAGATACGTTAATTTGACTTACCTGCTTCAGTAGCGTATCGGATGTTTGTGTTAATAAATACTTATTATAACTTATCTATTTTTATTAGAATTATATATTTTTATAACAATTTTAATAACTACCAACATTTATTTAGAACGTAAAATAAAACAAAAAATTATTGAGTCTATCCCACGTCTACCCTACATCATAGTTTTATATTTTTTAAATAAAATTAGAACGACACTGATAAACCGGAATTTAAGTCGGCCATATTTGAGGCCCATCGCGGTGTACCTAAGATTTTTGATATGCTCCTTCCTTAGTCTTCTTATTCAAAGGTAAGTAGTGAAATTTATACTGTGCCGCTATAATGTTGGTTTTTTATTACTTGCTAATTACTAACTTATATTTTTTTCTTTATTATAGTTATGCTGGGGATTGTGATATTACGTTCTATTTATCGGGCATGAAAGGCGGAATAAGAGATTTTCAGGTATGTCAAATTAATAATTCTTATCAGAATTTATCGCCATAAGTAATTGTTACTTGCCAAAGTGTCATAAAAATACTTATTTTAAAAGTAATGATTAATGATGGTATACATTATATATTAAACTCATTTGTAGTTGCATGGTATGCTCAGGGTCGTCATGAAACCTCTCATTACATCAATACCACTGGTTGGTGGATTGCAAGTATTCTTTTTGAATAATCCAGACATAGATTTCGATTTAATCGGTATTGCCGATGTACTGGACATGCCTGGTTTAAGGTAACGTCTCTTAAGCTTTAATATAATGTGAGGAATATTTAACCTGATCACTCTATCTTATTTTTAGTGATATTTTGAGGAGGATAGTAGTAGAAACAGTGGCTAATATGATGGTTCTTCCAAATAAGTTCCCTATTCAGTTAAGTCAAGAAGTAGAGGCCATTGAATTGAAAGCTCCAGAGCCTGAAGTAAGAATCTATAGAGTAATTTTATACAGAGCTGCAACAAGTCAGTTTCAAAAAGACTGATATAAACCTTAACTCAATTTTGAATCTCGCTATACCCATATAACACAATATCCGCAGGATATTCATAGAATGTCGGAATGTCCCATTATAAGATCATCTTATAAAGACATCTATAGGATATCCTCCAGACATCCTGAAATCCTGTAGATGTCTCAGGATAGAATATCCTATGGATATCTCTGTCGTATATCTTATGTACATCCAGCTGAGATATCCAAACATGCTCATGATAATAAAATATCCTAACAATATCGTCTAGATATTTAGGAAAAATAAATAATGTACTACTTTTTATATTACATAAAATGCAATAAACCATACAGATAGATATATATTACGTGAAGGCAACAAAATATCCTGTTGGTATCTTCTGGATAATCTGGATATTTATGAGCTTGGCCACTCCCAGCAATACAGAGAATTTAAAACGCCCGCGCAAAAAATTTCCCACAATCCATCTCGACAGTTGTTTGTTTTTGTATCGTGTATAATTCAGTTCTTTGATTTAGGGAAATTCGAGGTGAATTCGGTCGTTTGTCGATATTGAATGGGCTTAAAAATGACTGAAACTAATAAAACTGGTTGAGTTTGACTTAGTTTTTTCTTATACTCATAGTTCTAGCCTTGTTCTAGCAGAAATTCTATCCTAACCTCAACTAATGTCGAACGACGAACGACTCAGGGTTTCACAATGAAAAATTTGTGACAAAATTATAGGTGAAAATTTGTTGAAAAGCGCTTGTTCTTTATCCCTAAACCCATTTTCGTGTTTGATCTATTCGAACAGAAATCCTATTTTTGTGTTTAAATTGTGAGTTTCTGGAATGTGTGTTGTTAGAAATTATACCTGTATCCTGTGTGCCACTGTGTGCTAACTTTGATGTAAACGTTTGCTGCTAGACATAAACTGCTAGACTCCATAAAGGGTAGTATAATCTGGTATAATACCAAACGATCGAAAAAAACGGCGTCAGAGGTGGCTTGGAAATGAAGATTGCTGTTATTTTGCATGTAAAATTATATGGGGAATGTCATCGATCGTAATTTTCAAGCCAATTGAACGCCGTTTTTTTTTCGATGGTACAGTATAAATTGAAAGGTCTTAACTCATACAAATAAACTTCTAAATTTTGACGCAAAATTCGTTGACATAATATGTAGGTATATTTTAGAGCTGTTAATAAAAATATCCAATGAATAACGTCAAAATGTGTGGCTAAATAAAACTAAATTGGGAACGTTTTTACTGTAAACTAAGGATGAAGAAAGTATTGTCAAATAACAGTCCTCAAATAATGTCCTAAAAATATTCTATAATGCTCCCAACATCATCCTTGTATTATCCTATAAATATCCCAAATAATCGTAAAAGGCTTGCCTAGGGATGTCTTGAAGATGACTTTTTTTGTCCCATCTGGATATCCCATAAATATCCTCCTCTGGTTTTTGGATATCCCTAAGATATTTACTATATCCTTGGTGGATATCCTCAAGATATCTATAGGATTGTGTTGTGTTATATGGGTAGGCTTGGTGCATTTCAGTTGATTTCAACAAATTCCGACCGCAGCGCACTCTACGGCAGAAATCAGAAATTATCATATCATGTTGATAGCATTAAAATAATATTCAAATCGTGGTTTTGTCATAATATTTAAGTACCTATTTAAGTTTTTTGCTATAGTCTATAAAATGAATAACTTTGAATTTTGACCGTTATTTTTTACCAACATGGCAAATATAAAATCCCTCTGTCAAATAAGTTACTGATATTCTTTAAATTGAGTGCCTGAACAAATCAGATAGGTAACTCTTTTTACTTTCACGAAATAGAAAAGGAAAATAATAAAACAAGTGACAGTTCTTCCTCTTCTTGCAAAAATCAACACGAAATGTCATAATTTTCAAAAGTAAAATGTCATCAGCTTTAGACATTTCTAAATATCAGACCAATGCCGTCTCTAATAGAACAGCCTCGGAGCGAGTTTTATGACGTCACGCTAGTTAGATACTACGGATTAATTATTATGTTGTAGAATACATGGAAAACATTAAATATTATACACTAAAACTATCTACATTGGCTATGGAGTACGATTTCAGTCATAGTCAATGTAGATAGTTTTAGAGCTAAGAATAATAATTTTAAAAAATATGTGGCCATCTTTTGACAAGTTTATATTAATGTATTAATTGCAGTAAATACTATGTGGTGTTAGGTTAGGTTGTGAATGTAATTTTTGGATTATATTCGACACTATTTTTTTTTCATATGACAGAACACTGATGAAGGCTATAATGTTAGCCGAAACGTTTTTTTTAAACCAAAAAAATAATGAAAAAACCAAATGAAAACTTAATCAGCGTTTTTCCCGAACCTAAATCTCAAGAAAATGAAAAATTTTAGAATAATTTTACATATAAAATGACAGCGATTTTTATTTCGTAGCCATCGCTGACGCCTTTTTTTCTATGATATTGTATTATTGGCAAATATAATTTTTTGAACATTGATATTTGCAAAATATACATATACATTTTGCGAATGCAAATAATAATACATCACTATTAGTAGATATTGAATGTTTTTTGTTAAATTAGATCGATTTTCAAACCCCAAAATTTAAAATATATTTTACATTTTACCCATTATCTTATGTACCTATTCATTATTTGTATGTCGTAAAACATTTGCTGTATTTGTATGGTTCATAGTACATTTGCCAAAGTATTTATTACTATAAATAGGTATATACATATTGTATTTATTAACTGTATGTTATGTATATTTTATGGAAACTTTATAATTTTTAAAATACAAACCTAAAATACGAGGAATAATTATTATGTTTTCCATGTATTCTACAACATATTTATTAATCCGTAGTATCTAACTAGCGTGACATCATAAATCTCGCTCCAAAGCTGTTCTATTAGAGACGGCATTGCGTCAGCATGGCCGCAAGTTGCTAACCTAATAAAATTAACACTAGAAAAGCCCGCGGGAACTGTCAAATTCAAAGTTATTCGTTTCACAGACTATAGTGCAGTTATTGAGATTCTAAAACACTCAGGTACACACGAGGTTTGTATGATGTAACGCTGTTTCAGGTCGTAAAAAATAAGTGAAAAATTAATTCGAACTAGGCGTTGTGTTGTGTTGTGACAATTTCAAATGTTAATAAAATTGCCGAATAACGCGTAAACGAGAGCGTAATTAGGGCGTTTTTGGGTGCAATAACATTCAATAATTCAACTTTCCCGGATATTTAACTCTTCCGAAACAACATTTTATAGGTTCATAGTTTCTCATACCGATTTGATCAAAAGCAAAAATAAATTCAAGATTCAAGCAGTTCGACGAAACAAGTGAGTAAACAAAGTGCTCGTTACATAATCAAAAAATTAAATAGACATATTATACTATGAGGGGATGTAATATAATTTGTGTGCAATATTAATGGTATACTTTTTAATATCAACTAGTGATAATGTTTTATAAATATCTAAAATTATAATTATATACCTTTAAAAAATTTCGTTATAGCCAAAATAGCCCCAATTATGCCCCACTAGCCAAACCGGTAATTAAAACTATGCTCGCTACCGTAGTTGAACTCATCTAAAAAGTGTTTTTAACTGGAATAATAAATTATAATACAAGTTAAACCTGCTTCTGCAGATATCAAAACTAGTAGTGGGAACTATCGAATGAATACTATCGAAACATTCGATAGTTGCAATTCATTCGAATAATTCGATAGTTAGTAAGAAAACATTCGTTGAAAACTATTCGAATAAAAATTATCGAATAGATCCGTCATCTGCCTTGAAATACTGTATTCTAGTAATTCGGCAGCAAAAACCATTCATTTATAAAATTCATTCATTTATGAAATTCATTTATTCGTCAGGATCAATTATAATAAAATATTAACTGAATTTTAGTTGTCGCCCGGCGACGTAGGTTTTTTTCCGAGAAAGCGGTCGGTGGCAATGCTATGAAAGAAGCCGGCATCTTTGATTTTTTGCGGAGTCATATATAGATAAGGACACATTATTTTTTTTATTGAGGTGCTAGTATTTACACAGAAAATACATTATGAAGGGCGCTGTTGCCATATTTTCGTATTAGTTGATATTAGCAAAGAATATTATTGTTTGGCTTTAGTTAGTTAGGGATAGTATGTCTATATATTCTGCATTTTTTTATTAATATTCTGTTGTTACACTGCAATAATACTTGTTATTTTGGATGTAGGAAAATTATTTTTAATGTTTTTAAGCAAAGACTGGTTTAATAAATAATAATAACAGTAATAATTTGTTATACCTATTAACAACAAAATTTAAAATCATTTAATATAAATATTTTTTTTAAGTAGTAGCAAAATATAAACAACAAATTAGATGTCAAAATTATTTATATTAGATCGTATTTAAAAATAATATAGTCTCTAATTTTTTTGGCAACGTTGGTTTATTAAATAATAATAATTACAGAACTAATTTGTTATATTAACAACAAATTTTAAAATCATGAAATATAAACATTTATTAATTTTCTAAGCAAGCGGTATAATGGAAGGAAAATATAAATAAAAAATTAGAAATCAAAATTATTTATATTAGGTGCTTTATATTACTATTTAAAAATTATATTTACTTTTACTGGCATTTACTTTAAAAAATAAATGAAATATTTCTTCGCAAAAAACTACATGTAAGAGAATTAGCATAAACAAAATAAAAACATCGTTAACTTTTTTTTTAAATTGGCACGTGTAAAATTTTCATTTTAATTTTCTCACCCCATAGTTTGAGTTCGATAACCATTTATTTAACCACATTACTTAAATATAATTATTAAGTTCCAACTAATTCATAGGTATTATTAAAACATCTAAAATACAAATATGTATTTTTAAAATTAATTGTAAGTTCATCTCATCTCTCTTAAAAATTGCTACTTCTCAAAATTTCCCATTAAAAAATAGACCATATACCATATAAAATGAAATAATTGAAAGATCGGACTACGGAAAACCACACAAATTATCGGAAAAATTTTGACCACCTGCACATGCACACAATCGTCAATAAATAAAATTAAAAAATAACTACTATTTTAGTATTTTAACTATTTTAATAAACGCAAAAATAGCACAGTATTTATACGGCGAAGTTAAATTAAATAATCGATATATTTTACTCCTCTAAATTGGGAGAACAAATCTTGTGTAATATCAGTGGGCAGGACAGCGGTCTACCCAAGAAATTAGGTTACGCGATAATTTGTTTTATCTCCTTTTTACATTCGGTCTTCAAGTCATTTTGGTCTATAAAGTATTATCTGACAAACGAATCTAAAACAGCGGAAGGAATTCGGGCAAAAAAGTCGATGTTGTCACGTTTAATTATAGAACAGCAAAGTTGCTCGATATTTTAGTTCATTTTAGCATACATAATTATATATATGCTAATATGTTGACGTAGTTCTTATTGTAATAACGTATCCTATTGTAATAATCTATCTAATTAACTGATTTCGTTCATTCTACCTATAATAAAAGGTAAAGTATTTCCTAAAGATAACGTCCGCTTAGGGTAAGCTGGCAACGCTGGCAAAATTCATCATGGCATCGCGGATTCAACCAGTCTGATTGGTCGAGATTCTCGCACGTCTTTCCGCCATTACCCCCAACTTCATGCCCCTCTCTAGGAATAGTAGAAACAGTCACTACTATTGAAAAATCCAGTGGCGGTGTTATTGTATTGTGTTTTATATCTTTAACTTGATTTGTGTTTATTGTAATTACTACACGCGTTTTAACAAATATTACTATATTTGGCAAACGACTAAACAAAATGTAGGTACATTTAAAGTAAAATAATATTATAAACATTACTAGAAAATATAAAAATTCCTGATATATTTTTATGAAACACCGCACGCTCGTGGATATTTTATGAATGAAATCGGTCATGATTTTAGAAAATTGCGATCCCCTTGCCGTTGCCCCGTTGTGTCAGATCCGTTTGTCAGACTTGTATCACAGATTATACAGATTATAATCTTTGTTTTTTCTTTATTGGTTTTCGTGGTTCCAATTTTCGGAATCGGACACTAGTTAGGTGACTAGTTTGCGCACATAGCACGCCCACTTATGGCCTCTAAAATTGTGCACAGCGCCTGACCGGCACAGTTATTAGAGAGATATCGGAAAACCGAATAGCGTCATCCAGTATTTACGTGTACCTTATCATGGTTACGATATGCGCGAGTCAACGCAACACTAACCGCTAATAACGTTACCGCCTGACGTAATTTGCGGATCAATTACACCAAGCGCTCTTTCTAAATAACCTCTGATAACGTTTAAAAATTGCTTAAATGGGCATGTGCGGGTATTTGACAACCGGAGCCGGCCGGCGAGATCTTTTATTTTAGGTTATGTTTGAATTGTTTTCAATTATTGCTTTAGTTTTATTATGTAATTTGATATTTAAGTAGCTGGGATTAGTTTTAATTAAATAAATATGGCCCAAAATATGGATTCCACCTCTTCCAATACTAAAGAACCTATAAAGAGTCTTAGGTTTACAGCAGATGACGACTTAGCCCTTCTAAGAGAATTTGTTGCTTGTTGCCCTGGAACTAAGCACTTTAGCCCTTTAGTTTTAAAATACCTAGTAAACAAAACAATTTCAAAGTTTTAAATTCAAAGTTAGGTTAAGTTTAAATAGCGGACGCGACGCGATCAGAATTCTTTCCGATCCGATAACTATAAATGAAGAGAGTTAATACCACCTCACGTAAAGGAAATAACACCTGGCCTTATTAACGTCCATGCACGCTATTCGGTTTAGCGATATCTCTCTATTACGCTGTTTATTGATTATTAGGTAAGATTTATTAAGATTTAGGGACAAGATTTTTATCTGTATACTTATAGGATACCTAATCTGTGATAATAGTAAGAAATAACCCTAAATTGGCTGGTCACTGACTATAGCTATTTCGTCGCCTATTGATTTTTATTGATTTCTTAGGGAGTTTTAAGAGTACACGTTGTCGAAGCAAAACATTTAATGAAGAAAGACATCGGAATGTTGGGTAAAGGCAAGTCGGATCCCTATGCTATTATCACTGTTGGAGCTCAAACATTTAAAACCAAAGTTATAGATAACACTGTCGATCCAAAATGGGACTATTGGTGCGAGGTATGTGATGTTATGTATGTTTGTTCCGATTATATGTTTTTAAGTTTATATTTTACTTTTTGTTTGTCATTTTTTACTTTGTGACTAAGATTTTACATTGTCAGAAAGATTTAAATAAGAAAAGTCTATTTAAAAAAAATGTAATTCGTTAATTCTAATGAAATTTTTTTTATATATTATCATATTAGAACAAGGTATTCATAATTTTTGTATTTTATTATTTTTGATCACATACTTAGTATATACCGGGTGCGTCTCAAAAGTGGCTCACTCCTATAACTTCTTTATTTTTTCAGATAAGACAACAAGATTTGGTATGTTAGTATATGACATAAATTGGGATTGATTGACGTATTCAATTGTTTTCGGTCACTTCCGGTTTCACCGGAAATGGCTACAACTTTTGATTTTTAAATGGCAGCCTCGGTATATTTTTACTTTATTCCATAGAAAATGACACTTTCAATCGAATGACATATCATATATCAACTTTTGACATTTTGGCATATGGTTTATTTGAAATTGTAACGTGCGGTTCATAACGAAAATTTGACTCAAAATACCAAGTGTGTGGTACCAAATTATTCGTAAAAAAATGCTTTTTCCAAATATGCTAATGAACCACCCTCGTTCCATTTGAAAAAAATGAGATATGATTAAAAATACGATTTGAGCATGTTTTAACCGGCCAGAACAAGACAGTAAAACATTAGACGATCAAATCTATTTTTCCAAGTCTCTTTGATTAAAAATTAGTGTTTTTAATACAGCCTCTAGATTGAAATTTAAAATAAAAATTATTTTTGAGTGACTATGTCAAAAATTGACATATGATATGTCATTCGATTCAGAATGTTATTTTCTATCGAATAAAATAAAAAAATACCTAGGGTGCCATTTAAAAATCAAAAGTTGTAGTCATTTCCGGTGAAACAGGAAGTGACAGAAAACAATTGAATACGTCAATCAATCCTAATTTATGTCATATACTAACATACCAAATCTCGTTGTTTTATCTGAAAAAATAAAAAAGTTATAGGGGGTGAGCCACTTTTGAGACGCACCCGGTATATATAATAACTAAAAATTTATGGAAAAATAAGTAGTAAGAGATATTGACCAATCTTTATTTTCGTTATTTGTAATTTTAATGATATTATAAAGTCTTATTATGATCAAGTGTGTTTTATATGATGATAAATAAATTGTAATTTTAATTGTCATAGCCTGCTTGATCAATTATTAATTATACGGTATATTTATATCCTTTACATATATGAACAAAAAGTAAAACTATGTTTATTTAGAATACACTCATAGCGCGCACAAACCAAACTGTTTCTTAAGTCGTACAGTAATGTAGCTTTAACTACTAAAATTTTTTAATTTTAAAACAATAATACACATTTTATAGGACGTGCCAAAGAAAACACATTATAACAATTAGTGCAACAATTCTTTAAAAATAAGTTATGTTATAGCATTGTTTTATGAACAAGTTTAAATTATAAAACATTATATTGACACATCCTATACAAATTGTGTGTGCTTAAATGTTTACCTTAATGTATACACAAAATATGTTTATTTGGGTACCTTATTAACTAAACTTATATTGTACTGTATTGAGGATGGTTGACAACATGGGCGCCACCATGGAAGTGAATCGGAAGAAAATAAAGGAGGTTACGGTTAATATATAGAAAAATTTGAACAGCATAACAGATATTTTAAATTTCTGTTCAAACTAATTTAAAACAAGTAAAAAGCGGGGTTTCCACATGCAAGGATTACTGGCGCCAGTGTTCGCCAGTTTATTGGCGCCACAATTAAATGGCGCCATTACCCGTTTCCACAGGTCTATAGTAAATTTAAAACTGGCATGTCATTACGGTCAGTTTTATGAGATTTTAACATCTTGTTATGCTCTAGAGTGTAAGCATTCATAATACTTCGAATTTTGGCCTTTGCAGAATTTACTTCACAGTTGCTGAGAGAATCAGACATGACTCTAACAATCCTTCTTAAGGCTTCATTCCTTTTATTTCGGTCCTTATAATCACTTATTGTATTGTTCCATAAGCAAGGATGTTGTTCGTAGGCTTCCAAAAACTTTATTATTAATTCAGTAGACCACTTTTTTGAAACAAACGACATTTTTACGACTGGAGATGCTCGCTGTATTGTTTACACACAAAATTGGCGCCAAAAAGTACAGGAGCGTTGAACTTTACTGGCACATGAATTAGTGGCGCCACTAAACTTGCGCCAGTCGATATTTTACAGGTTTCCACATACAATAAAACTGGCGCCAGTTGAATGGCGCCAGTAATCCTTGCATGTGGAAACCCCGCTTAATTCTTAATCATTTTTTGCGTATTTTGTATTTTGACAGGGGCATTAGTACACCCCTGGCACCTTCCTTCCGGTGCCCATGACTGACAATAACACATTTTCTGTTCGTAGTTTGAAATTAATTTTTGTTATATTCTGTTGGGTAAAGTAGACGTTTTTAAGAGTTAGACTTAATCTAATGACTAACCCAGAAAGTAAAGAATACACTGAGAAGATCGATTCATCAAAATAAAAATAAGTTAACAATAGAGATATGTACAGGGTGAGTCAACGATAGAGTAAAGTCCATTATCTCATTTGTTTCAAGGTTTACAAAAAAATGTTTAATATAAAAGTTATAGGGATGGTTAGGATACACATTTTATAATTATTATAGAGTATACAAGGTGCTTCAAAAAAGTGGCGGCTTTGTTGCAACATATGTTTTTTTAAATGCAACACCCTATTTTTTATTTTATTTTTAGATTCTGCGTTAAATTCGATAACTTTTTTATATATAATGTTATATACCTAAAATTAATAGTTTTTGTAATATTTCAATTTATTTAAACAGATGTTAAATTGCAGTGTGGTAAAAAATTGTCAGTGGTGCTATTGTTTCTGATGTTGGAGTACCAAAATTTGGTAGGAGAGTTTTATAGAGATGAAAAAAAAGATATATGTATAGATATTTTAGTTAAATGATACAGGGTGTTCAAAATATATTTCTGAATTTCAACTACTTAAAATTAAAAAGTCTCAATTTTTTTAAATGGGACACCCTATATATTATCATTTTTTCTGATAGATTTTACAAAACTCTTCAACTTTTATTAAGTATGTCATACCTATTTTTAATTGTTTGGGATTTATTCCCATTTTTTCTATTTTTACCTATATTTTTAATACAATTACCCTATAGAATCATAGTTGCCATGACAAAACAAAACTCTTTATTGCTTACCTTTAACAAGTAGCTTCATAATTAGTTACAATTGCTGGTATTAGTTAAAATTGATTAACTTTACTCAAATACACTAAATCGCAGTAGTGAATTTCTTGTGTATTTCTATATTATGATAAATGACACTTGGGATTTTTCGTCGAGGCGAATAGCCACAGATTAGCGTCATACTAGATTACCTAATTGCTAAAGACTACTGATATAGGAATTTTCTTCGACACACAGTAAAGTTTTTTCTCGTAGTAATTCTGATTTATAAATTTGGTAAAGCCAATTTAGTACTGCCGTGAAACCGACCCATTACAAACTGAAGATGTTTTCTAGATAATATACATCTATTCTTATAGTAGTTAGCAAAGTACTATATAATATATAGTACTGAACAAAAAATGTGGTTTTCTAGGCTTGTCCGTGTATATCAGTCACATTGACTAATTCGTTTGAAGAAAATCTGTAATTATTATCTCTACCATTTATACTTATTACAACAAATTAAACTAAAATTCAAATTTTGTTCTTAACTTGCTTAACGGACATGAAATTGTGATAATTATTACTTTTTGTCATGGCAACTATGATGCTAGAGCGCAATTGTATTAAAAATATGGGTAAAAATAGAAAAAATTGGAATAAATCGCGAACTAATAAAAATAGGTATATGACGTACTTAATAAAAGTTGAGTAGTTTTGTAAAATCTATCAGAAAAAATGATAATATATAGGGTGTACCATTTAAAACAATTGAAATTTCTTAATTTTAAGTAGTTGAAATTCATAAATATATTTTGAACACCCTGTAGCATTTAACTAAAATATCTTAACATATATCTTCTTTTTAATCTCTATAGAACTATCATACCAAGTTTTGGTATTCCAACTTCAGAAACAATGGTACTACTGGCAATTTTTTACCACACTGCAATTTAACATTTGTTTAAACAAATTTAAATATTTCAAAAACTGTTAATTTTAGGTATATAACATTATATATAAAAAAGGTGTAAAATTTTACGCAGAATCTAAAAATAAAATAAAAAATAGGGTGTTGCATTTAAAAAAACATATGTTATATCCGCCACACTTTTTTGAAGCACCCTGTATACTCTATAATAATTTTAAAATGTGTATCTTAACCTTCCCTATAACTTTTGTATTAAACATTTTTTTGTAAACCTCGAAACAAATGAGATAATGGACTTTACTCTATCGTTGACTCACCCTGTACAGGAAGAAAACTTAAATATAATTTTGTCCATATTTTTTTAAAATATCTACCACATTAAATTCATTTTGAACATCTTACATCATCTGAATTATGGTAAATCAATTTTTCTCTTGAATATTTATTAAATTCTGTTATAACCAAAGAACCATAAGAATATTTGGTATATATTGATAAACATATTTTCTGTATGATATTAGAATAATAATTTCTAAGGGGGGGGGGAGGTTTTACACAAATTATATATTGAATAATTGTGTAATATCTCTAAAGGTTTTCGCTATTTAAATTTGCTGATTTATTTTTTGTTTTGCGATTAATACACAGTTCAATATACTGGAATCGAATGGCCAGCAACTTTACATCCACCTGTTGGATAAAGACGATACGGGGGATGATGAAAATCTTGGAAGGTGGGTTGTAACTTTGTTTATGTTTCAGATATGTAGTAATGGTTAAGGTAATTTCTAAGTTAGAATGTAATTATTGTATAAAAGAAAATAAAAGTATTTTGTAACAAATATGAAGCTATCGAATTCTCTCAAAGACAGATAATGTGGCTGGTTTAAAAAAGACAGATAATGTGTGCTTGTGTATCGCTCGTATTTAAAAGTACGGTTTTCACCCGTCGCATGTTGTAAGTACTCGTTAACGCCAAGCGCCAAGCAGTAAGTTGCGTGCGCAGGGCACATATTCTTTCGGTAATGAACGGCAAGTAGTAAGCGGCGAGCGATTCGCTTGTTCACTTGATTTAGTTTATTTCGAAGCGTTGTCGATGTAGGACGTAAAATTTTGTCCCTCAGATACGCACCCCTATAACTTTTTTTTATTTTTTTCAGACAAAACAACGAGATTTCGTATATGACATAAATTAGGATTGATTGACAAATTCAATTGTTTTTGGTCACTTTCGGTTTCACCGGAAATGAGTACAACTTTTGATTTTTAAATGGCACCCTCGGTATTTTTCTACTTTATTCGGTAGAAAATGACACTCTGAATAGAATGACATATCACATGTCAACTTTTGACATTTTCGCATATGGTTTATTTGAAATTGTAACATGTGGTTCATAACGACAATTTGACTCGAAGTACCAAGTGTGTGGTATCAAATTATTCGTAAAAAAATCTTTTTCGAAATATGAATGAGCTACCCTCGTTTTATTTGAAAAAAAAATATAAATATAACATATTTATTATATTTTTTATTATATTATATATAAATTAAAAAAAAAGGGCAAGACAATAAAAACATTTGACTTAGCAAACATTAGACTTAGCAAAACATTAGCACTTCTTGCAGCTAGCTTTTTCAAGGACCGATACGTCTTCGTTATTATGTTTTAATAGTTACAGATTCTGTCTTTGAAGAATTATAGGTTTAAGCTATACAGGGTGGTGCACCTCATTCGCCTCGGTTGATTATACAAAAACGGAAAGATGTAGAAACAACATATTTTATGGGTATATGTAGGGAGACAATGTGCACACTTTAAAATTATTTTGAAATATACAGGGTGTTTCAGAACTAAGATCCATTCGTGTCCTATTTCGCAGAGCTGGTAGTGTGGTTTATAAAAAAACCTATTAGGCAGAAACCTGTCGTTGGAAGTGAAGAAAATGAATTTGCCGTAATTGGCTCTTTTATAGAAAATCTATATATCTATAAGTCATCGTAAAATAATTCAAAGAACTACTTCGTTTTTCTATAAAAATAATAAACACATATTTAATAAATATTATTTATTAAACTATTGTAGGTAAATTAAATAAAAGTAAACTGGTATAAATTTAAATAAGTCCATAAACTAATTTCGATTTTGAAAATAGCTACTAACTGTCACTAAAAACTTGCCATGACAACACTATAGCCGTCTTGATTACAGTTTTATTGAAAAATCGCTTTTTATTCAAAATCTGAGCCAGATAGGTATAGGAAACCCTAATACAGTTTGAAAGAGCATTTAAATTTGCTTCGATTTATTTAAAAAAATACATAGTGTTGTATTGGAAATAACGAAGTTTTTATGTAAAATAAATATTTAAAATAGACCAGCAATTTTTGATACCCCTGTATACATTTAAGAAAGAAATAACATTTTTCTGTAAAGTTTATTTTTCTACCTTTAAACTCAGCATAAGAATTAATTCTGAAAAGTAATGTACAGGGTGTTAATAATCTATTCTATTGTAGGATGCAAATTTAAATATCTTTAAATATCTCAAAAACCAAAGATAACATAAAACATATTTAACCCTTATAATAAATACCTTTTTTTGGGCCCAAGAATCCAAAAATGAAATAAAATACAGGGTGTTCCATAAGAAGAAATATAACTTTGGTATTGATCTTAGTTCTGAAACACCCTGTACATTTCAAAATAATTTTAAATTGTGCACATTACCTCCCCACATACACCCATGAAATATTTTATTTCTACATCTTTCCGTTTTCGTATAATCAATCGAGGCGAATGAGGTGCGCCAACCTGTATACATAATTTTGGTGAAAGTAAAATTATGTGCTCTCTATATGATTTTCCGTTACAAATTATTTATATTTGGTACATAGCTTAATATAAAATGTGTAGTAAGTAGTAACAACCAGGAGCCACGAGTATTTAAGGTAAATTATTTATTGTATGTATCAAGCTATATCGTAAAATAAAAGCTTAAAGTATGACCACTTGCTTGTGCACGAATAGGATTAGGTATAATAAACTAAAAATTACGCTTTATTTTTTTAACGGAATATTAATGTAGACATATTTTTGTGGTAGGCTACTGTGAGCTCAAGCGAGGCTCAGTATTTGGTTTGCAAGTTATATGATTGGGATCCCAAAATATCAGGCCAAACAGCACACGATTTTCTAGGAAGGTTGATATTTTTAGATTTTTATTTGAGTGTGTATTTTGTTGTGTGATCAAACTGAAACGATGTCACAATATGCGTAGAAATGCTATTTTAGTTATGCATAATAAACTAGAGGTGTGTAGTTCGTGAACGAACTAGTTCCAATGAACTATTCCGACCCCGGAATGAAAGGAACTAGTTCCTGGTTTCTCAAAGAACTAGTTCCTCAGGACCTATTCTCGGATCGAGACTGTGACCGATATAGAATGATTTGCGACGGCGACGGATCGGCTAGCGCGCGTAGCCCGATGGTAGGCAGGAGTGGGGAGTGCCAGCCGCACGTTATCGGATCCGGACCTAGAGGAACTAAACTAAATAAAAGACTAGTTTACGTACGTACGAATCGGACCAGCGCGATCGATGCTAGGCAGGAGTGGGGAGTGCCAGCCATATGCCGTATGTTATCGGATCCGGACCATAGACAAACTAACAAAAGCAAGACTTTTCAAAGGATTGAGGAAGTCGAATTATTGTTTTTGCGCTGGCCAGTTGAGTCAGAAACCATCGCGCAGTCGCACTCGTCAAACCTAACCTAAATAAAACGAAAAACGTTTTTGCCTTGAACCATCCTTGAACGAACTGTTGAATTCCTGATTTTGCGTTTTGTTTGGTTATTACTATTATTTTATTAGCGTACAAAACGAAAACAAATAATTTAATACATTTTACATTTATGAAGAACATAATAATTACTGTGATTATACATATTATTGTGATTACATCGCTAACGTAGACAAAACGAAGGTCCTACAAATTGACTGTAAGTTATAAGAATCTTTATCTTTTTAATCTTTTTATGATTTGAATTTTCGTGCTTTATATTTTATAATAGACTCGAAATGTTAATATTTTTGCAAATTCTTGTGAAAATGTGAAGTTTATGTTTTTGTTTTATATTTGAAAAAGTTTTATATTTTTAAGATGTTTCTTGTTGTTCCTATTATTAATATTATAATATACATAATTATTTTTTTGTACCTTTTGAAGAATAATGCTTTTATTTCGTTTACCATAACTGTTTTTTTTATCATCTTTTTTGTTATTTTAATAAGAGAAATACGTTTTCGTTTATTTAACTTTTGTTTTTATATCTGTTATGTCCAGAAATTATTGTTTATTTTACCGATGGAAATAAATTTATTTGATTTTAATAAACGCTTTTTAATTAAACATCCTTGTCTAAAAGGCTACTACAAAATACACAATCCATAAGTAAACCGTCCTCGTCTAAAAGGCCAGTTGACGCAAGCGCGGTAATAAACTCTTATCAAACTTGTTACCGTTTTGCAGTACAGCGTTGACGCGTCTTGCTTTTGTTAGTTTGTCTATGATCCGGACCTAAAGGAACTAGAGGAACTAAATAAGACTAGTTTACGTATGGATCAGCCAGCGCAATTGATGCTAGGCAGGCGCGGGGAGTGCCAGCCGTACGTTATCGGATCCGGACATATAGAGGAACTATTAAAAGTCTAGTTCACGGGAATCTATTCCGTCGGCAGATCCGAGATATAATACAAGGCGACGACGATGGATTCGGCCTTGTCTATTGCCACAGCCGCACGGTGGGGTATTAGCATGAAAAAGGTGATGGAAATTCGAAAAAGCAAATGTGTTTAAGATTTCCTAAAAAAATATAAATGATAAGTTAAATCATCTCTGCCATGAATGGCGTTGCTATGGGTGTGTTTAGTTGCATTCATTTGTTTCAACGAAATGTTAAAGTTGTTACTTCTCACAGATAAGAGGCAAATGGCTAAATTTTATGTTTAAAATTATAAATTGTTGTTGTTCTTGTGCTCTTTTTACGTTTATATTATTGTTTTGATTGAAATGGCTCAGCAAGCTGCAGGTATGTATTCTACAAAAGCGTATTATTTATTTTGATGTTCTCTATACTAACGATTTTTTTTGCAACTATAAGTTAGGCGTTCAGAAAATTTGATTAAATTTGTGACATTTTTATTATACTTAGTTGCGCATTTCGAAGAATTCAGCATATTGTCTATATACGTTTTACTTAGTAAACATTGGGCTTTCATACAGTAAAATAAAATACTGCGACTTTTTGCGACTTTGCTGATAAAATGAGAAAAACATTCTTGGTTTCCTCTAATTTGCCAATCAGTGATATACTAATGCGAGGTGTAAACCGCGATGGCATTGTTGTGTACAAAGCGATCGCATTAGTGCCATTAGCAGTATAGCACAATTTGGCATTAGTAGCGACTTTAGTGCTATGGGCATTGCTCGCGGATCAGTCATAGCATTAGTAGTATTAGTTGCGATATTACTACTGGCATTAGTGGCATTGTCCGTGAAAACACTGGAACAGTGATTTTTCTTTCTTTTTTTAGAATCGACGAATTATCCTTTATTTTGTTCATATTATTTCCTCTTTAATTGAAAATAGCAATAATTTATACAAGGTCTACATAAAAAAATTTCGATCAACTATCTGTGTCAAATACCCCACTGTGAGCCGGCGCGGCGTAATTGAAGTGAGGAAAAATGCAATTTTTCGTAAAATTTTTGTAATATATATAGTTTTTTAAACTCTGGTTTGAGTTTCTTTTTTATATTTTTTATCTGCAATAAAACTTACCTATAAGAGAAATTAAAATAACTTTCGTTGCACATCATAATACGACCACCAGCAAACTCCATAAGACGACGCATGGTGTCATTAATGACGTGCAACGAAAGTTCTTCCAATTTCCCTATATATGTTTTTAACATACACAATTACACGTCTCGTTATATCTCCGTACATTATAAAAATTATACAGATCATACTGTGAATAGTTCTGACTGACAACGAAACGCATTAGCAAGCAAGGGGGCTGTCAATGTTAGTCGGGAACTATTGTGAACTAAAGACCTAGTTCAAGGAACTATTCCTCTGGAGGAACTAGAACTAAGGAACTAGTTCCTCCCAAGGAACTAGAATTCCCACCTCTATAATGAACTGCACAGTTTTTACAATAGTTATAATATATATATATATAATTATTCGAGCATGAAAAGTTTATTTACCCGTGAGATTGAATTCGGTAATTAAATTCGAATTGATTGACCTATTTAACGTTTTGATCACTTCCTGTTTCACCGGAAATCACTACAACTTTTGATTTTTAAATGGCAGCCTTGGTTTTTTTATTATAGTCTGTCCAACGACAAGATCCTTGACAGTGATAGATGTGTCTGTCATTTTAAATTCAAAGTAGTTTATTTTATTTTACAAAGAAATAAGTCGGTACAATTGGAATGTATAGCAGGAAATTGATATATTTAATTTTTGACTGACAAGAGATTACTTCAAAATATTGTAAAAAAACTGTATAAGACTGAAAAAATGAATTCGAGTTATTTTATTTAAAAAAAAAACGGTATGTGTTAATACAAAACAAACAAGAACAAAACAGCACATAGGTACCAGAAAAATATAAAAAAGAACTATTTCTTACTTTCGAACCTCAAGAAACTTCCCGCATTTATTATTATATTTATCAATATAACTTATACAAACAAATACAAATTTGTAATATTCCACAGGAATTATAACACCTGCCAAATTTTATACCCTAAAAGTTGATTAATTAACTTTCATCTTAATTGTTTTAAACCAGTACCGTAAAATGGGGTGAATAGAAACAGTTTCGTAGGCTATTAGCGATATACCGGTTGATAAAAATGTGGTATTATTTTCCCGAATATTTTAAAACATGGGCCTTTGTTTGTTCTTTGCGTATACATATAATTTGATTTTTGAAAAATATGCATATAAATATTAAATAAAAATAACATTTGTGTTTCTATTCACCTGCTATTCGGGAGAATAGAAACACACATTGATGTTAATGTTTTTATCTATTCTACTTCCAACAAGGTGATTAAAAACAGTAAATTATTACATATTTAAGTAGGTTTAACAATAATTAACAATACATATAATATGACAACTTACATGTACCAGCTTATGTATTACTTTAAAAATAAATATTTTATTTATAAAGTTTTCGCGCCATACAAAATAGGTGATAAATCGGTCTCACATTTATTGATCAGCTGATTGACAGAAACAGTGCTGCCACAGATAAAAATATAGTTTTTACATTTTATTGTGTATTACCAATCATAGAAAAATTAGATATGTCGACTCTTTTTACTTTGAATATTTTTAATCGTGATTTGATTTTTTTCAGAAATTTTGTTTCTATTCACCCCATTTTACGGTACCTTTTGACATTGTTTTTCTGTAGTACTAAAATCCATTATTTACCATGCACTTATCCACGACGAGATGATCTACAAAATTTAATGATGGTAATTTTATTGGTATAAGACTTTCTGCCTGGGCAGCGAGTATTAACTATAAACTGTGCTCTGGGTCTACAATTAATTTTCCCTCGATTTTTCCTCCACTGAACTTCAAAATACACAAAACACACGTAATAACACGAATCAAAATTCATTATCTTTCAAAACGCAGGGTATTTGACATAAGTTGACACAAAATTATAACCTATAATTTGGCAAGACTTTGACAACCCTCAAAAATCTAAAGGCGAGTTCATACGCATCAGCGTCCGTTTGTCCTTCATCATTCCGTCTAACCAATAAAATTAAAATTTGATCTGTCATTTTTGAAACAAACCAATAAAACTGGTTAAAAACAAGAAGAGACGACGCATGACGGATTTATATTTAAACCCATCCATAGTTAACTTAAAAAATATTAGAAACTTTTTTTAGTAAAATAAATAGATTGGTATGGGACGTCATCTGCTTTTCTTCTGTCATCGTCTGTCGAAATCTTACCTCAGAATAAAAACAGAGTATATACTAAATGAGAACCGTAGAAAGAGTAGATATTTGTATGTGTAGTTAATCATTCTGAATCAACGAAAAGCCGCCTAAAGTGCTAAAGTAAATCTATAGTAATTCTCGGACAGAATTGTTATGTC